AACTATTTAAGTTTATTTTTTAAATTAAGTAAAACATATTCATATTTTTAAATCATAGTTAAAAAACATTTTATATTTATATGGTACTACTAATCTTATATAGCTGGGAAAGATTTAAATAAGCACAAAGCTTGGGAGTCAAGAGGATAAAACTGGTGGGGCACAGCCCCCTGTGGCCACCCCCACTTGTTGTGCCCCTGGTGACTGACAGGTGATGTTCCACAGTGAAATGACGAGCTGGAGCACCGCGCAACTCTGTTGCATCTAGCTGGGACWAGACTTTTCAAATTCGTCTTCTGAGTTGTTCTTAAGCACCAGAGCTGATTTGTTGTCAGGCTGAGCTTTATGGGAGAAGTTTTCTGATCGAASCCGCTCGGCCCCGYTAGACCCGCTGCACTGCGCRTCTCTCGGGATGCCAGAGACAAACAGAGACCTAATTTATGCGGCACTAATAGGGACACGGMATTTCTTATTTTGTGAATGTTTAATTTTTAATAAGCRCCACTGCTTGTTTTAGTCGCCCGCSCGGGGTTATTGGGAATAGTTTTTCTGATCTCCGCTCTTCATTGTCARCTCAGGTGGCCGCTCTGTTACGCAATCAGCTGTGCGGTATGATCGACCTGACCGGTGCTGAGGGAGAGGTAGAGAAGTCATCTGATATGGCATCGTTTGGAGCATAACGGATCCAGAAAAACATCAGCGCCCCAGAACCTGTCGCCTCTTGTCACTTCTTGATGTCACGCTCGCCCAGCATAGATGCACCGCGCGCGAGAGACTGGGTTCACTTCAGCCCGTGGGCYGGTTCACGGACTGAACCATCAGCACTCTGACCTGCGTACAAATAGCTCTAGACATGATCTGGCCCCATTTAAATAATAATAAAAATGAACAAACAAACAAACAACCTCCAAGTCTGAAGTCCACAGCGTAACTCCTCTTCCTCGATCTTCATCGATGTGTTTGAGGAAATGGGAAAAAAATACGTGTCATGGTGCAGTGACGCAGATATGCGCACCAAATGAGTACAAATGCGCACATTATGGCAAGAATTATTMATCATTACATCTGGTTTTAACATTAATTTTATAAAGTTTGAAGTCCGAGCAGTGTAATCCAGTTCAAATGAACACTGAAAGCTGTCACTGGTTTTTACAGAAGCCCTGTGAAAGCATCACAGCTTAGCCTATCTCAGAGGAATAAAAGGAAAAAAATTCCTGTATCCTCATCGTGATCCGAAACATCACCAAAATTTAATGGTGTGTTACTTGTGCTAGTATCCACATGTGGTGTAAATGTCATGACAATCCATCCACACATTTTGGAGTAATGCTGTCCATAGACAGACCGACCGACAGACAGACAGACATACAGACATACGCGACTGAAAACATTACCTCCTTGGCGGAGGTTAAAAAAACAAACACACAAAGTACCAAAAACTTGTACCGTTGAGTACCGGTACAGATTCCCAGGTACTGGTACCGAATCGATTCAAATGTCAAAGGGAGCCATCCCTAATCTGCAGTTAGTCTCTGGGCCAATAAATTTTGTGTTTATCTCATTCTCTGTACAACACCCATTTGTAACATTTATTCAAAATACAGTTATTTCTTTGTTCTAATCATACTAACTTTTGTAGATACAAAATATCAGTTATGTAATTTAAAAAACAAACATAGAAAAACTTTCTTCTAATCACTGTAAAAATAATGTTTTTCTACATTTTAATGTATCTACAGGGTTAATGTTCCTGACTGAAGGGTGGAGGAGGTGTGTGAATTTGATTTGCTACCTGGTGAGGACGATTTTTGACCATTTCCCCGGTACATACAGCCTGGTGAGGACCCACTGTTTCTTATGGGGACACAAGCCCAGACCAGTCTTGGTCCACATCGTGGGGTGAATAAAGTTTAGGCTAGGTTTAGGGTCAGATATGCAACAGAAAATATCAGTAAATGAATAAAAGTCAATGCAAAGTCCCCATGAGGATAGAAAAACAAGTGTGTGTGTCTGTGGGACAGTGAGGAGACGCCTTTTAACACGGACAAAGAAGCATGATCATATCTCCCCGGTGCTGGCTTCTCATCCTTGGCTCCCTGTTTGTTTTAGAATTGATTTTAAACTTTTACTGATGACCTATAAGGCTCTGAATGGACTGGCTCCTGAATACCTGTCTGACCTCCTGCAGCCCTATTGTGCCCTCCAGATCTCTTAGATCCAGTGATCATTTGCTCTTGGCTGTCTCGCGGTCAAGACTGGTCCACAGAGGTGACCAAGCCTTTTCAGTTGTGGCTCCTAAACTGTGGAACCAGTTGCCCCTTGACAGGCCTCAACTCTTGGGAGTTTTTAAATCTCTTCTTAAAACACATCTGTTTT